TTTTCTTGCTACACGGTAATTAGCTAATGCTAAAGGTTTAGCAGATGAGCTACATTTTCTTGCTACACGGTAATTAGCTAATGCTAAAGGTTTAGCAGATGAGCTACATTTTCTTGCTACACGGTAATTAGCTAATGCTAAAGGTTTAGCAGATTAGCTATATTTTCTTGCTACAAAGTAATTAGCTAATGCTAAAGGTTTAGCGGATGAGCTACATTTTCTTGCTACAAGGTAATTAGCTAGTGCTAAAGGTTTAGCAGATTAGCTGCATTTTCTTGCTACAAAGTAATTAGCTAATGCTAAAAGTTTAGCAGATTAGCTACATTTTCTTGCTACATGGTAATTAGCTAATGCTAAAGGTTTAGCAGATGAGCTATATTTTCTTGCTTATAAGGAGCTGATCGGGACTTACTGACTAGATCTGAAGTGCTGGGTTTCCTCGGTCCTCCTCTGGAGCTACCGCTCGATTCCACTGAAAGAGAAAACATCCATTAGTCGTAAAAGAAGGAACATTAAGAACATTTGTTGGTTTAAACTATTTTTTGTTTGCAATATGAAGCCATGTCTGAATCAACCTTCTGGAGCTTTAATTTTCTTTATTGGTCATCAAGAGTATAATAATAATCATTTATAAAATCAGATTTTCTATCCAGTATTTAAATCACATTTCTTTTCCCCCATGGAAAAACTAAACTGCCTGTAATAAAAATGAAAAACAAAAAAAGAACAATAAAAAATCTGAGAGACAAAACAGACCCCTTACACATTTCTGCTTCCCTTCAACCCATCACCAGAAACCATTATACCATGGGAGGAGATGACATGATGTGAATTGGAGCTATAGAAATAAACTGAATTGAATTGAATATTTAAGCAGATCAGATCCATCAAACCTTCATTTGCAGTTTTAGCCTTTTAACTTTAAAAAGACACTGATCCATGTCAACAAAACATCAAAAAAAATATCTAATTATAAGTGAAAAATCTGGAGGGAAACAGAAACCCTGAGGTCTGTCTGAGCTATCAGCTGAGGAACAAACTGGAGCTCCTGATTGGTTCCCATTCAGGTCACTCACATGTGATCTGGCCAGAGATGGGCAGACTCTCCTCGGATCCGGCGTACGCTACTATGGTAACCACATAATTCACATCTGGAGTCAGGTCAGAGATGGAGGTCTTAGTCGCAGATGCAGGCAGAGAAACTTGTCTCGTCGGTTCTTCTGCAGGAACGTAGAGAGTCAGAAGGAAACCATTAGGAAACAAGGACATGACTTCATCTCTCCAAGAGTCCAAGTGCTGACCTGCAGGGCTGGAGGAGCTGAGGAAACAGCAGTTTAATGAGAACTTTCCACATTACAGCTCAGCACATGCATTAACTCCTTAAAGCTCTCCGATCTGACATGAAATGCTTCCTAGCCTCTGGTAGAAGGAAGACCTACAAGCTAATAAGATCATTCCTGGATTAAGGAGCTCGACTCTAGAAGTTTGTTGATGGAAACCTTCCCTGAAGGTTCTCCACTGAGCTGTTTTTAAAAAGCGTGCGTACAAAAGTATTTAAATCCATGTCCAGGTATAAATAGTTGGATTCCTCCCATAATTCTCTGCAGGTCGTCTCAGGCTGAGGCAGAGTGGAGGAGCAGTGTGAGAAAACATCTAAGATCTTTCTTTAAGGGATGAATTGTTTTGCCCATTTCATCCAGCAGGAGATTTTCAGATTATTCCCACTGGGGGTGTGGATCACTGCAGAGAAATATCCCCACATCATCATGCTGCCACAACCATGCTTCACAGCATGGATGATGTTAGCTGGTTTTCTCCAGATGAAAGAGTAGAAGATCAGTTTTTCTGGTCAAATTCCATCAGTCTGCCATCCTTCCAGCATAAAGGCCTTATTGGTGGAGCATCTTAGCACCGCCCAACATTTTATTGGTTCTCATGGTTATATAATTTATGTTGTGTCTAACTAAAGGCTTTTTGTCCTTATAAATTTCTCTAAAATTCTTCCAAAACTATTTTTCAAACAGTTTTTTTAATCATTATTAATGCATCCATAAATTTACCGTTCACTATGATTTTGAAAAAAAAGTCTTGAAAATGACAAAAAATAAATAAAATTAACATGAAATTTGTTTTGTTTTTTTTTAAACGAAATAATAACTTCATTCTCTTGTGAATCACAACAAATTTTGTTTGCATTATGAAGCTATATCTGCAAGTGCTACAAGATAACTAATGCTAAAAGTTTGGATGAGCGGATGAGCTACATTTTATAACTAATGCTAAAAGTTTGGATGAGCGGATGAGCTACATTTTCTTGCTACAAGGTAATTAGCTAATGCTAAAGGTTTAGCAGTTTAGCTACATTTTCTTGCAACAAGGTAATTAGCTAATGCTAAAGGTTTAGCAGATAAGCTAAAATTTCTTGCAACAAGGTAATTAGCTAATGCTAAAGGTTTAGCAGATTAGCAAAATTTCTTGCTACACGGTAATTAGCCAATGCTAAAGGTTTAGCAGATTAGCTACATTTTCTTGCTACATGGTAATTAGTTAATGCTAAAGGTTTAGCAGATTAGCAAAATTTCTTGCTACACGGTAAATAGCTAATGCTAAAGGTTTAGCAAATGAGCTACTTTTTCTTACTACAAGGTAATTAGCTAATGCTAAAGGTTTAGCAGATTAGCAAAATTTCTTGCTACACAGTAATTAGCTAATGCTAAATAATAATAATAATATACTATATAAATGTGTATTTTTGCAAAACATAATCTTATAATATAATGATATAAAACTTATCTGTGTTTATTATATTAATATTTAATTGAAAAAATATTGACATATATCTGATCCAGTTTGAGTTCAGTTTAATTAGTTTTTAATCTGTGTGATCTAACTGAAAGGTAATTTTAAAATTAGTTTTAGTCTTTTAAGTGGTTGTGACATGGAAGAGATTATTGTAATATTATCTCTGACTCTATCATGTGACTAAAATAAGATCTAAGGAGCCTCCTGTTCATTCTGACAGCAGCTGTCTGAAATGTGGTCTGATCCAAGATGGCCGCCCTCTAGGCACGTCGACCAGCTTCCAATGAGGCGTCTACGTATGTAATGTTAATGGCTCCGCCCTCAATTGACAAAAGTTGGAATAAGTGCACAGAAAAATACCACACTTGAGGAGAGAATCTACAAACTGCAAAAACGACTTAGAAAAAAGTGTTTTTACTCCTAATTTCAGCAGAAAATAAGATAATTAGATAATATGCACTTGAAATAAGACAAAGCAATTGTTTTTTTTTCTTATTTTAAATGTAAATTGTAAATTGTGTTGTTCTATTGGCAAAGTTTCACACTTACCTCCTCAATTCAAGAAAAAAAATGCAGGACAAAATGACTTATGTTATGACATCAGCAGTTCCGGCCAATCAGAAGCAGAACCCACCTGTATCTGAGGTCACTTCTATCCTGTAGCCCTGTATCCTGCTCTGCGGCCGCCTCCACATCATTTGAACCGTACTTTCACTTAAAATCTTAAACCTTAAATCAGACGGAGCGTCCACTGTGGAGACAAAACGTCACAGAAGGTTATTCATCCGGCTGCAGGATCCGCAGGTATTCTGATGATGAAGCCAACAGTCAACACTTCAGGGATGAAGTCAGATCAGTTCACTGTTGGAGGAGCAGAACGACACGTGACGAACAGACAGAACAGAGCTCAGACTGAGACGACAGACACGACATTAAACCCAGAGGGATGTTCCGCTTCGGAGAAACATCCCAGGTAACAGGCGGGATTACTGGGAGAGTTCAGGATCCCATCAGGAAGGAAGCAGTTTCTTTTAAACGATTTTTAGAAGGTAGAAAACAATCCACTGGACTTTATTTAAAGGTTGAAGACGTTTCTCTTCCATCCAGGAAGCTTTTTCAATTCAAAATGTCAGAAATAGTTCCAGGTTCTTTTAATGCAGCCCAACAAATCCTTTAGAAAACATGCAAATAGAAACGGATGAACGGGTC